TGCCTGTACGTGAACTAAGTTGTGTCGAAATTCGAGGTTCTTAGGTTATGATCTTGGTGCCAAAAAAGGTCAAACAAGGTCAAATTCCAGGTAGGTGTCTGTGCCTCCTATTTCCTGACACCACTGTCGTGAACCTAGATAGCTGTTCTAAACAAAAGGTTATTGGTGTTCATTTAAGGCCAGTGACCTTATTTGACCTCTGGAAGATCAAGGTGACAAAAAGCCTAAGAGATTGCTCCTATTTTGCCATTCAAAAAAGCGCCAGAGACTGCGCTGGCGGTATGTTCCTAAAATCAAAATGTTGACCCGGTTCATTTTAGACAAGTGACTTGCTCTGGCACTTAAGAATTTTATAGAACATGTCTGTTGTAGTCACTGTTATTAATAAATTCGAAATAAGCACCAAAGGCTTTCCTGTAGAGCAAGCTCCCAAATAAAATAAAAACAGGCGATTGCAAACTCCGTTTGACATTCATACCTGACCCTACGCCAATGGAATTTGGTGTGCTTATATATTCAATTAGCTTATTGCCTCCGAAGCAATCTCAGAGATGTAAAGCTTCGTATAACACTCCGTTGTAGCATCAAATTGAACAATTCCCCTAGAAATGACCTTCGTTGACGGTCACGGACTGACTTTGACGTGTCATAGGTCAGCGATCTTACCAGGTAATCCAACTTTTGATTCCAAAATATCCGCCGTTTAATTCCCTCCAGCAAAAGAAAGTCTGGCGCGGCTACGCCGCGTCGTACGAAAATCATTCCGGAAAAATTCTGGGGAGGGGCAAATTGACCCTCACCCGAGTGCATGTCACACTAGAGCCACTAGACTGTGCTAACTCAAGGCCGTGCGGACCTCCCTATCGTGCGGCGGAACTGACCTGTTTGTTCAACTGGTCACGTGTCGAAGGAGCTTCCCATATGCATAACTGATTTGCTTTTCCTATCTACAACTTCTTTATAAACCTGATGGAGCGTTACTTCGAGATCCTGTAGCATGAGCAGCAGACCTCCCTCGGTGATCTGGTTGTCATTCTCGGGGAAAAAGGAATATCTTAACTACACTACGCCCACACGAACGCCAATCAGGAGATACACGCATGATCTACACGTATTTTTTATTCAAGGACCATTTTCTTAGCAGCCATGGAGTGCGCCGCATCGTAATGTGGTATCATTGGGGTCCCCGTGGTTATAGTTGAATGGCATGGCTGGTATTATGAATGACATAACTTTAATGGTATAGAAATAAATCTGAGGCAGCTTTCTAGGTTAGCAAACCTATTTCTAATGTTTGGATTCATGGCCGAGAAATTCACACATTTATCATTTTTTCTCCATACTCCGGCTGTGATGAACTACTTCTCACGCATTCTTCTTTTTCAGGGCATCTAGTGGATCTGAAAAATGTGAGGCTTAGGAGGATCCTATGTAATATTCGGTATACCACCTAAGCAATACACATGGGCAATATTAGCACGTCATTCTGGGACACGCTTACTGCCCCGGCTTGAACTGTAGAGCATCTCATGGACCGGATCGATCCGCGGACGGCGGATAGGTCCGCAGCACAGATTGGAACTAGTCAGAAAATTTTCCCAACACGCGCATTGGTTCGAATTTCCGAGCTTGCCAGGTTACGCGGATTTGAACTATTTTAATTCGCTGTGGATTTTAACGGATTTGTATGGAACGAATTTGTTTAATTTGTTTTTAGTCCGTTAAAATTTAAAATATTAAAATACGCTAACCCAATCTACAATGCCCGAGAAAAAATTCGTTGAAACGGGCTTTAGCACTACAGAAATGCTTACTTCAATTGTAAGCTACAGAAATTGCCCTAGATTATCGAGATAACCATGTCACTGGATCGATTATTTCACAAACCAATGGACCGTAACAAAGAGCTATAGCAGTGTAGAGGTGTTAATAGTTACCAAGTCAACACCTTCCATTCATACTGATGGCATGGTACACCGAAGCTGGTTGACAACAATGTAACAAACACACATGTCAAGAAAGCATAATATAGAGTCACACCAATGCTACTCTGTCAGTTACCCACGAGTATCCTGGGCTGTGCAGGGACACTGATGAGCGGATCTGTCACCAGCGTTACTTTGAGCGCAGCGTTTGGTGGCGGTATCATTAGCAGCAGTTTCTGATTGAACACTTTGGTACATCTGAGAGTACGTTTTATCTAAAAACTATGGTCTTCTATAATTCATGCGTCGCGCATATAACACAGGTTCATAGTATTATAGTGTTTAAGCAACGTAGCTGCTGCAAGTTGTACCTTTGCTGTGAGTTCGAGAAGACAGCAAATGACAGCTACTGAAAAGTAGAGAAGATTTTGTTGATTCATGGTCAAATCTAACTCTTGACTTCTCTTCAACCTTGAATTTGGCCCCATATGTTAAATAAATGCATAAGTGGGTTCTCCGCCGTCAAAAATCCCTAAAAATGGTATCACACGCGCCTCCAAGTTGTCGAGACGAAATTTTGAAACTAAACCATCCTTCACGACAGTTACGGCCGCCATCTCGAATTCTGAGAACTACGCCAAGTCGCATCAGCAGCAACCAAGCTAATTTGAACCTTCAAGCTACATTAAAGTAGCTACATCGAAGATTTTCGTTAAAATGTCGCGGTAGCCGACATTGCAGGGTTTCATATTAGAAGCGTAAGGACGGCAACTCGACTACGCGGTACCAAGCGACCACAACAAAAAAGTGAAAAGCATCTATAGCGCATGTGTCGTATATGTAGCGCGTGTTTATATATCATGTTCATAGAGCGTGTTCATATATCATGGCATATAGCGCGTGCAGCTTCTATGAGTGGCACCCTTGCAATGGCATGAGAAGACAACGAACGATGAATGTCTTTTAATAGGGGCAATTTTCGTTGTACGTGATCATCTCTGACTTTTGGCCCACAATTTGATCTTTAATTTGACCCCATGCGTAAAATATAACTGCGGAAATGAGCTCCTTGTCACAGAAAACCGCTAAAAAACAATGTCATATACGACCCTCAAGGTCGCGAAAAAAAACTTAGAAAATGGACGAAATTCCAAGATGGCGGTGGTCGCAATCTTACATTCTGAGAAATGCTTTAAGCTACACAGGTGGCAACTAAGCTTATTTGAAACTTTTAGCCACATGGAACACATTTCCGTGGAAAAAGTTCGCGGTAGGTCAAAATTGCAAGGTCTCCCATAGGGAGTATAAAGATGGCAACCCGACCACTGATAAAGACGTCCATCTCAAAGTGGCCCGGCAATCGGTAAGACGTAAAGTCCCAATCATTATTATTGATAAAAAACGGCATGTTTAGAAAGAAGAATAAGAACGCATGAAAAAAGTCGGCCAACCAATTTTTATGTTTGGCAGTGTGTCTGACTTCTATGTGAGACGGCTGATCAGACCACCACACTGAAATCTTTGACTTCATTATTGTTTTTAAATCTCGGAAGCATTTATGTTTCACTGGGAGGGCCAGACATGCAATTTAGCTGGCTGGAGGAAACAAAATCAGATGCTTTCCACGTCTTAGCGTTCTGAGCAAGTCAGCGACGTTTGTCTTTGTCCAATTGGCGCCCTCCGAGAGGCTGCACCTCGCCAGAATCGGTCCATTATCGTTAAAAAATCTCACTGCGGTGGTCTCATCATCCCTCGTTAATGGAACCCAGCCACAATTGCCAACGTAAAAGTGGGTAAGGTGCCTTGGTTTTGCCTTGTTGTTCCTCTTTCTAAACGTGCTGTTCTGCAATTCCGGAGATGCCAGTGTTCTTTTTTCAACTACTAATGCTTGCAGCAAAATTAACAAGCGATATTTTCCATCCTCCTTATTACGCACCTGGTCCCAATTTGCCTCATTTGGTCATAGCGTCTGCATTCTCATTCACCTAGCGTTAACCGGAGCTGCATGAACGTGCGGCGGCGGCAAGGCTCACGCAACAAGCGCCATTTACCGTGGGTGCTAATTCCAAAAATGTGTTAATCAAAACGTTAGGATAAATCTTCATGACATCGAGGGGTGCAAGGTGAGCCTGTCTTTTTGTCACGAATTACTGAAGGCATAAACATTTGGCCAGGCTTACCTGCTGGCTGAATAATGGTCAACTTTCTGTTCGTTTGCTGCTGAAGTTGGTGAATGCTTCAAATCAGTCGCCGTCGGCGTGATGCAACATTGCTAATTAAAAGGAGTGTTCCACTATTGTGTGGGGTTTTAGAAATAAAATAGCCGTTTTGAAGATTATTCGGAGCAGTTCACAGCCCTGCCCTTATTAAGATCTAAGCCCCTCTAGTTTTTGAGCCAAACGCCCGCGAAGATGTGCAGACTATTTCGGAGAGACTATGTAAAGGTCACCCAGGCATCCATGATGCCATAAAAACGTCATTCAGATCTTGTCATTCCATTTGGCATGAATCGATCAGGCGAAATTAGTGTAATTGTCGAGTCGTGCATATCTGGCGTTCGTGAGCACGATTTCCAGTCACAACTGCCGTCAATTGGCTCTCGATCAATGTTGTGCAATGTACGATGACGTAATCGTATTGAGGAGTATGTTCACTAAACCGAGACATTGTACTGTCTAGAACAGTTTTTACACTTAAAAGTGTACCAATGGCTACAAGTGAATTTATTTCATCATATCTTGATGCTTGCTTCAATATCTTCAAATGTGGAGCATTTCCTCTACGCACAAGTGCCTCGATCTGCGCAATAGATCTCAGCTATGGCATAGGACCTATTCGCGTTGATCAGGTAACCTCGAAATCTATTGGCCGCCGGGCGCCGCGACCTCATGCGCACGCCCCTCCCCCTCCCCCGTCGTCATGCGCGGGCAGAGCGAGGGCGATCGCGGGCGCGCTCCTCCCTCTGCCCGGCGCCGGCGCGGCCGAGCGCGCCGGGCAGAAAGTGAAACGGTACCTGAGCGGCGCGCGTGCGCGAGAAGTGGGCCGCGCCGGTCGTCAGTCGCATGGCAGCGCTGGCGGGGGAGGGTGCGGGCACGAGCGCGAGCGTGACACGTGGACACTGGCTGCGGCGACGGCGGGGCAGAGCAGCGTCAGAGGCGTGTCCGGGGCAGGCACGGCAAGCGCGCTGCGACACCGCGGCAGGGGAAGAACGGCGCGGGCAGGCATGGTGAGTACGTGAGCAGCGTGCGCTGCCATCGCTTCGACGTTGCGCGCTGTCTTCGAGATAGCCGGCAGTTTAGCGTGCGTGGCCTACACGTGTCGCGTCTCGCTGCATACCCAACAGGCCTCGCGAGAGCAACTAGTGCAGCTCTCTTGGTCTATGCTGAACCCTTGATTTACACTTGCATCAGTCAGAACGGGTGGAAAGCCGCCACGTCAGACTGGGCGGACGTCTGACACCGGTTCCCGCGGCGCGGCCGCCTTCAAGGATCGGTGCACCCGTTCAAGGAGCACGTCGTCTCCGGGTCTCTCTGACAGGAAATGGCCGGTGCCGACGGGGGAAAGTGCCGCGACTACCGCACGCTGCCCCGGGTAGGCTCGTCACGCCGCGTCCGCGCCATACAGCCCAGCCGGCCGACGCTTTCCCAGTCGGGCCTGGCTGTTAGCGCCGCAGCCGATCCTCGTCGGCCGAGATTGAAGAGCCGCTCGAGCTCAGGGTCCCGCCGACAGCGCTGTGCTGGCGTGTCATCGGGCTGGCTGAGAGGAGTTCGGCCAGTGAGTCCTCTGCGGCAGTAATCAAAAAGGTCATGTGTTCACTGAAGGCTGACATCAGCGCCGTTGCCTGATCGCCACTGGTTGACGCTAGTCGACCAGTGGTCGACATCCGCCACTGGTGGTCGACATCCGTTGCCTGATCGCCACTGGTCGACATCCACTATTCTGGTCTTCCCCAGGGCTTGCTCTGTTACTAGATTCATGCCTTTCATCAAACTGCATGCCCCCCCCCCCCCCGTTCATATTCTAGTCCAAACGTCTGTGGACTGGGGCAAGCAGCTGACGAAAGGGACGCTCGCTAAGCGTGAAGCTTGTCTGCAGCACGGTCGGTCTCCTTGTATTGTGGCGTCGGCTTATCGCCGGCTGCTCCAGGGCCGTTGCATTGTGACGTCGCAATGATTATGAACGCTCCAAGCACGCGCATTGTCCGGGGTTGGAAACGGAGACCATTCGCCGCACTAAAAGCTCTGGGATGGCGAGATGCGATGCGTGGATGCCAGATGGGGGAGGGGAAGGGGAGGGGGCGGAATTACGCAGTTCTTGGGCTCGATATGGCAGAAGGGGCAACATTATTATATACATGGCTGCAACGATGTGTTTGTCTGTTGTAAATAACTACAATCTACCTATACACTACTCCATAGTAATGCAGCACTGACTCCACATCAGAACCTGGTCTTCTCATGGGGTTCGAGATGTACGGGCGATGCGAGTCCTGTTGGAGCTCACGTGCGAAGGCGCATGGCTTTTCCGCACCCTTTCCCGCTCCTGCCGGGGAACGGCCTTGGCCTGTCACCAGAAGAAAAGTCGTGAGCAGATAGAGCGGTTAGTTTGATGGAGGTCGACGGGTTTGCAGATGAACAGGTAACGGGCACCGGGTGGCGATGCGTTTCGCCACTCCGGCTGATGCTAATCGATGGAATGCGAACGCGACCAAGGAGCTCTCGGCCAACGCGGAGTGACCTGCATGGGAAATGTGATCGTCTGTTTACTGAATTTGGCGATCTTTCGATCTGGTGATCAAAGTTGTCTCCTCACAATTGCCATGGCTGATGACCGCGTTCCTCGCGTCGAATGGACCCCTTGACCGTTGCCTCCTCACCTCCGCCATCACGTGAGAGGGCGCCCAGCGTTCGGCTTCGTGCATGCGTCCGACACGAGCCAGTGGCCGGCGTGCCGGCCGACTACCGGGGCGCAGCTGGATCAGCGTCCGCGATCCTCCTGCGGCGGCGTCCTCAGCAGACTCAGCCAGCATGCACCCCCGCTTGAGTTATGAGCCCCGTGAGCCCTCCGGCCCTCTGGAAGTGAGCCGATAGATCACCGGCGCGGTGGGGAGCGCCGGAATGACCCAAAAGCCCTCGAACCCCACCGGAAGGTCAAAGGTCACGCTTTGCATCGGCCAAGGTCGCGGCGTTACGAATGACCCACACGATCGAGCGGAGCGGGGCCCCGCCCCTCCCCTTCGCGCGTCACGCCCCTGCCGGAGAGGTGATTGGCCGGAGCACGCCTCCCGTCGCGTCACGACCACGCTGCAGATTCGGCGTGGCGCCGGAAGTGACGCCCGTCCGGTCCCACCCAGCTCCATCAGGTGTCGGCCGGCCCGCCAGCATCCGGGTCGCCCGGCGGCGAGGCTGGAGAGGGCCTCTCATGCACCGCTCGCCTTTTCGGTCGGACATGCGATGGCAGGATTACCGGGTGCATGCTCCCGGTGCGGGTTTGCCGTGGCCTCGTGGGAGGGTCGTGGCGCCACCGCGATCGCCTGACCCCCACCAGCCTCATCACGTGGGGTTTGATGGCCACAAAGTGGGGCTCAAACGAGCTTCCGTTAAAGCGTCAAAAGTCGCAAAAGCTCTGCTTTTGACAGTTAGCCTACACCACAGGTATGGTGTAGTAAAATGATGAGCCGAAAGCAATATTTTGCCTCAAACATAGTTTTTTGCTGGGTATCTGAGCTGTGCCTGGACGACATTTGAGCTTTTTCTCTGTGTCTCTATGGTTTGACCAGATATTCAGAGCTCCGAGACGACAATTGCTGGGATAGGGAGAGGACAAAGACCTTCCAAATAGACAGAAAGTTCCGCTCATGCCTTTCAGAGCGATTTGCGCACGCGTCCGCCTGCAGTCCCTGTGCTGGTTTTCCACCGCTCAGCGAGAGCCCATTAATATCCATTGTATCACGCCGACTGGTGCCGGGTTGCTGGCGCAGCGGCGTTGGATGAGCTGGGTGCTGTTTTCGCTGGTCGGCGCCGGAAGCGGCGTCAGCATTATCTGACCGCGTCCGAGGGACCGGAAGCTGCCTGCTTCCGGACAGCGTGGACTCACGACGCGTCGTCCTGCCATGACGGCGCGTTGTCGCAGTCTGGGTGACCGCCCGTACACGGAGCTCCGTGGTATCTCTCGTCCACAGCTGTGCGGACCGACCGCCGCGCGCAGAGGTCGACATCCGTTGTTGGGGTCGACATCGACATCTGGCGAACCGACGGCTGTCAGTTCGCCAGCGGAGTCGGATCGGTGGGCGACCGGGCTGGAGCTGAGGAGCTCTTGTGTCAAAACGGTACGATTGCTGCGTCCGACAGTTCGGCCTTTCCTACGCCTTCGGTCGACCTTCGCTTCGCCTCCACCAACCAAGCACATCTCCGACGATGCATCGACATTCTCCGTTGATCTTTCGCGATCTCAGAAAGGAAATAGGGCCTCGCCCAGATCTGTCTTCTTTTTTACTCGATGTTCTTGAGTCCATGCGTGGCGATGTTCTGACTTGCGTCAATTCACTTAGCATTGCTGGGTGCACTAACGTTCAGCAATACTGTATTAACTAAATGCGTTGGGGTAAATGCATCAACGATTTCCCTTTCTGTCCCAAGAGTTGCGGAAACTTGTCGCTACGAACAGCAGTGGTATCGAACGCAGTTGAGTACACCAGACACCAAGACTCCTAAATTACAGCACAAATTGTGTTAGGTATTTAGGTCTTCGTTAGCGAAGCTGAGGCGTGCAGCTGATAGCTCAGAGTTTTAAGTGTTTCTGGTCTATTTGAAAATATTTCAGGCACACTCTTCAGATCGTCGGTAGTTGTGTTTAGCGTACTTGAAGTCTGCTGTGCGTTCTGGCAGTTTTATGTGCCTGATTCAAGCTACAATGAAAAGTACCTGCACAACGCCTGCTACGCCTACTACGCTTGCTTACGCTTACGTTCCTACACAAGCCGCATCACGTCGCTAACGTTGGGTCCCATCAGCACCTGGCTGGGGTGCGCCGTGACCTTGACCAAGGTGATGAGGGATGCGTGTCGGAGAGTCGGTTTTCCCCGCTGCCGCTGTCGTCACTGGATCCAAACAAGTCCGGAGAGTACTGGTTATGTGTGTGGGGGGGGGGGGGGAGGTGGGAGGGGGCGGGGAGTCCGAGCCGTATGCGATGCTCTCGCGTCTTTCCCGCCCTGCGCATCACGTGACCAGCCTGCAGGGCGTGCTCTCCCCGCCCGGAGCCCGGTCCCTCAGCGCGAGCTGTCCGGGGGCATTTGGTGACCGTCCGCACGAACGCCCGAAATGTCGGAAGGTCTGACGGACGTCGAACGTGCAAATGTGAGGTGACAGCGCAGCTCCGGCGGTCGGCTGACGGGGGAGAGGTGAGGGGGGGGGGGGAGGCAGCGACCCTCGGGACAGTGAACACACCCCCGGCACACCACACCCACAGAGTGAAGGGGAGGGGCGCATTAAGCCCGCCTGCTGGCTCCAGATCGACCATAGCGACTCTGTGACCCGCAAATATTTGCGGCAACTTCCCAGAGGTGCTGTTTTGCCGACACCACAGGCACCGCATGGGCATGGGTGTGTTGACCTTTGTAGAATACCGAACAAGGGTTCTGCGCCACTCGTTGTGAATTCAACTCCTGACATTTGGTAGGATGGGAGCTGAAATAACGCCATTTTCCCAGCGATCCAATAATTGACTTTCTCCAAGCTGTTTGGTTGCTCAAGTCTTTAAATATGGTTGATTGAGCTAGGTCCATAGGTACAGAAGTTACTTGGGTGGATTGCATGCATTTTGTATATTTAGAAAACCGGTTTACTCGCCACCGCCGACAAGGGGAAGGGTTGAGAGCACAAGCACTTCGCCGAAGGAAGGATTCTCACTGCTTCATCGAACAGACTTATTATGCGATCTTGATCGTACCCGGTATTCGCCTCACAAGTACCCGAGCCTCACTATTGTCCGAAGCAGTGTAAGTCTTCTATTTACAGCTACCCCGTTTTGCAGCGAAACCACGCCACCGCGGCGTTGCTGGCCACTCGTGCCCAGCAGCCGCCGCCCAGCAGCCGCCGCCCAGCAGCCGCCGCCCAGCCAAACCTGATAACCGCCCCTCGCGTAACACAAATATCGTTGGCCCCCCACGGGCTGCCGGCCGCCACCACTCGGTGACACCGACAGAATGCAGGCGGCCCGGCTGTGCGG